TAATCTAGCCAAGTGCCCAGGCCATTTTTCAAAGGCATGGATTCCCAAAGCCAGTCCAGAACAGAGAGCCAGGCTCACAAAGGAGATGAGGAGGCAGGTATGTCTGACACCTGCGGGGTTCTGCCTGGTCTTCCTCCCAGTTCTTCCCGTCTAGTACCATTCCCAGCATTACTATCCTCAAGTTTCTCCAATACGTTCACCACTGTGAAAACAAACATCCTAGAGGAGTTTTAGAGCAGTAACAGACCAAAGGAAGTACTCATGAAAAAGTGACATCTGCAAGGCTGGCTTACCGAGCATTATGAGCTCCTTTATTAATGTGCTGAAAAGGACCAATAGGACTATATTCAGCAGTGGGTTTAGATTAAGTTTTTCTCTGTGAATGTTCTTCTTCGAAATGGAAAGCTCTAGTGTTCCCTGTGCACAAGGAGTGAGCTAGAAGAGTTGTGAATTTAGTATTTCAATACTCTAGATACAATTTTTAAGGGTTAGAATTAGGCTTGTTTTTAGCAAAGTTGCTGAGAAGGCTGCACTAGTACTATCCCAGCTTTAATGTCTAGCTATCACAACAATCCAATACAAGCCTGAGTTTAAAACCACCATGTTCTCACCAGCAAAACATCTAAGATGTTCTTGTTCTACTGTGGTTGCAGAAAAGCTAAGCTACTTTTCTAAGACTTGCTGTGAATTCTTTTATTTCCATACCTAGGTCTAGGTTTCACAAGTAGTCTATCCCAAGGGAAGTCAATGCATGCTGAACAACAGGAGAAAAATCCTCTCTCCCAGTAGATAAATTTAGAGTCGAAATGCTGTTAACCCATGCTTCAAAGCTCATTTTCTGGTGCAGGTCACTACACAAACTTAGAACTAGACAGAGATGTATGTATAGGCAAAAATTAGGTCTAGGACTTCGTGTAAGTAACTATAAACCTTTTCTGCAAGAGCTGTGTGACGTTATCATGGCATTACATGACATCATCACAGTTCAGTCTCCTCCACATCACTGCAACACTTTCAGTCATTCAGCACATTTTTTTATTATTTATTTTAAACTGACATATTGCATCTAATACCTGTTCTCTCTTCCAGCCTTTATTAGCTGATGAGCTGGCAAAATGCATTTCTTCCCTCTTTTCCCTTCCTAATCTTTGGAGTGGTCACAGCTGTGACAAAGAATTTGTGCAGCATCTCCCCTGCTGCTTCAGAGTTGACTATAACAGAACAAGTCGATAGACGGCCCTGGAATCTGAGGCAACTTAAAAGAGATGCAGTCTCTCTTACAGCTTAGTCACAAGAATGGTAAAGTAGCAAGCCTGTGAGCTAGAACTTTGTTTTTAATACTGGGAACTAAATCCCTTGTGAAGTTGGGGCACGGGGAGAGACAGACTAAGCTGTGTAGATGCCAAGATATGCATGAACTGCATGTGCACATTTATTTACATTCCAGCCTGAGCACTAAAATGTCTTCTATGCATTCGAACTGCTGTTTGGAAGTACCTATCCCATCCATTTCAGTAGGAAAGAAATGGCAACGCTGTCCCTTTCACAGGGAAGTCTTACATTGCTGTTTTTAATTGTTGTGATGTTCAAGAGAATCCTTTTTCCCTTGTTCTGTGACATTCTCTGGAATCAATTCATTAGGACAAAGAGGTTGATAAAGCTTAGGTTCAAGTCATGAGCTTTGAAGCACATTAACATTTTTTCTCCCGTTAGTGTTCGCAGGCAGACAACAAACCGACCCCCACCAGCCGGAGGAAGGCCTAAACCACAGCCAAAACCTAAGCCTCAGGTACCACAGTGCCGGGCACTGTATGCATATGATGCTCAGGACACAGATGAACTTAGCTTTAATGCCAACGACGTGATTGATATAATTAAAGAAGGTATGTAGAGATCAAAGGTTTTGCTACTTAAGTACTAACCTTGAAGGTACACTGTCATAAGACATGACTTTTTGAGCCATCCCACGCTTACCTTCCCTCATTTAGACTTGCAAGTTTCTACAATAGCTCAGGGAGCAGAGGTCTCCACACCCACACCAATCAAACCTGTTCACTTAAAAGCATGTCAGGGACAGATCAATGACATATGCATAATTTGGTACTGCAGATCTGTAAATTTAGTTAGAGAGTAATTCTATCACAGGCTCTAGCTGAAAATTAGCTTAAAGCACAACTATAGCACAAGAACCAAAAAGCAGTTCCAACTCTTTGGGTCTCCAAAGCAAGCTCAGAAGGTATAGTGATGTGGTCAAAAGATTAGCAAGCTCAGGTTCTCGAAATCATTTCTCCTCAGTCCTTCACAAGAAGGCTCTCACTGTGTAGAACAGCTTTGCAAGGCTGCCTCAAAAAGTACACAAAAAGGTTTACAGACCCTCGCTGCTTACTTTGCTTTCTTTGTCATAGATCCTTCTGGGTGGTGGACAGGAAGACTACGAGGGAAACAAGGCCTGTTTCCCAACAATTATGTCACCAAGATATAAAAGACCATCGGCCAAAAATTGGCATGAAGTGACCGGGGGTTGAAGATTTTTTTCCCTTGCCTTCAGGACACTGTTCTTCCAAGACCTGCCTTTCTCAGCAGTATTTTCACCAGTAAAGTTGCGTATGAGCAGGAAGAAAATTCCCCACAGCAGACTTTGACCTTTTGTCTCCGAAGCATACAGCAGTGACTGACCAATTATTTATTATATTTAAAACCTGGTTTTAACACCTAGTAAGTGAAGAATGCTCAAACGTACTATCTTCCTGAAACAGAAAGGTGCTTTGCAGTCTGGGACCAGGGACTTTGAAAGGGGTGTATTTAATAAGTGCCTTCAGCTGAGTATCAGTAACCTTTTTAATTACCTACTGAAGATAATAGTAAATGCACATTTCCTCTAATGCAGATCATTCTGAGGAACATGTTAAGTATGCTGCTACATGTCAAAAAGATTTAGGCTCATCTGGGATATTACCATCTAAAAACCTACTGTGATGGTATATATAAGTAATTCTGTACAGAGTTGTAATGTGTTTGCTGATGTGTTTAGAGACTCCAACAGGCACGACAAGAAGTTAAAACAGAAAACCACATAGTACTGTATGCTAAACAATGTTGCCTTCTTCAAGATTTATATTATAATATGGCTGGCCCATGTTGGATTTATGTTTAATGCTCTTCCTGTTATAAGAAGTGTCTTTATGCAGAGCTGTACATTTATAGAAACAAATTGTATACTGTATATAAAAACTGAGTATGATAGAAACATATATGAATGTATGATGTAGTATTCCACTGTTCTTATTCATGAAGTAGTTTTACTAGAATTTTTATGCCAGGTACTTACAGATATGCACTACTGCTCTTAAATGGCAAAAGCAAAACTGTTATTGCCTAAGTCTGATTGCCTCCCACACCAGAGGGGCTGGGGCTGTTGCTTGCCATGCAGTTATCAGCATTCATGCTTTGCCTTCTGAACCTCCATAAAATAAACCACAAGAAGCAGTTAGCTGAACAGGTCTGTTCTCTGTGCAGTTTGTTTTCAGTTACGTATACAAACAGATCCCTTCACAACAATTTCTGTTGGATTTTACTGCACTGATTTCTAAAGAAAAAATCCCCTTCCTTTGCTCCAAACCAAACCATTTTCACTATGCACAGCTGAAGTACTGCACACTACATTTTTTTCTCATTAAGAGCAGTTAAAAAAACCCCGTGTATGTTGATGTTAAGAAGTTGCATGAGCTTTAAAGATACAGCTAAAGGTCTTGAATCCCCTCCCTCCCAAATCACTGCCTAAGCCTAATTTAGGCACATTTAAACTCCATATCCATTAAGAGATGACTGACTGTAGAAGCTGTTTCTGGAAGCTAGAAACTGGGGCCTCAGTCCAGGGGGGGCTCATATACGCACAACAGATCAAGCATGTTTTTCAAAAGACCATTTGCAGTAAGTGCTAGGGTGACTTATCCTACAGGAGAGAAAAGTCTCCTGCTTGAGAAGATAAAAACCAGTAGCTTCAACATCCTTCCCACAGGGGGAGCACTGAGGTCTAGGCCATTTTTGTAGCATTGGGTTCTTGCCTTCTACATCAGGGCCAGCACAGTCATGAAGAGGAGACACTGGGAAAAGGGAGGTAATGAGTTCAGTATAACTTAAGTTCAGTATAACCTAAGGGTCTGTAACTTAACATTACTTATATAGGGCTAAGTTAACAAATAGGCTTAAATGACACATGGAGGCAGAAAAGTTGCATTATTTACATGCTTGTATTCCATGAGCATACAAACACCGATATTTATTAGAAACAAAAGGAAGTAAAATGTTAAGCGATAAGAAGAATCTATTTTACAGTAGGTTTGACCGTATTCTCCCAGGTCTAGAGGTTTACAGGGCAGGTGGGGTGGGGTGGGCAAGTGAACAGGCAGTGAAAAGCTAGTCGTTTTTCTGTCCAAGAAGTAGAGCAGGTTTTAAGAGCTGAGCTGGTTCAAAAGGTCTCATCCCTACAGTTCCACAGTAGTTTCACAGCTGTTAGCATCATAGGAGACTTAGAATTTTCCTACCTTAGCTCCCTTTGTTTAGGTACACAAAGATGGAGAACATGATGCCTTACACAAAGATTTACAAAGCTAGTATCTGTTCCAGCCAGCCTACTTTTTACCCAAACTTGAAGGCAACAAACTACAAAGAAATAAATTCCTGTATACTTCTTTGGGACAAGGCACTGAAATAAAGTATATTTTTCATATCCTTTAAGGTACACCAAGAAAAGATGAACTGTCTGCCTGCTCTTTCTTACCTTAAGAGTGAAAACAAGTTACTAAATACAGCCCGCTATAAAGCCTGGAGATTCTCATTGGAAACAACCACTGAGAATAGTCATCCACATCTAACTGCAAGTTGTATCAATCACCTGTTTAGTCAAAAGTGTCCTTCTTGGACATTAGATTGCAGACATGTCTAGGTAGGGCCTTAAAGATTCACAGTCACAGAACTATTTTTTTTTTTTTTTTTTTTTTAAAGCAAAGAGCTTTATTTCTAGGTAAATGGTATTACAAAGCAAGTTTAAAATTCCACCTTCTGACTGAGTCTGAAATGTCTGTGTTAAGGCTGGAATGCTATGTACAAAGAGAGCAGTAGTTTTGCCTCCACAGGCAGATGCAGACAAAGTGCGTATACCATCAAGACTTGGCTGTCTAGGGTTATCACAGGAGTGATACAGCCAGGTCCCTGATTATCTTCCCGCTCAGCTGTGGGATTGTGCTGATCATCAGTAGTTTGCTACTTGCATACTTGTTCTTCACAGCCTGCAGAGGTAGAATGTTACAAAAGATTTACATATACAGTATTTAAGTTCAGGCAGAAAATTTTGGGTCAATTAGACTGACCTCTTGAAAAACAAGCAAACAAACAAACAAGGTTAGAAGCGAATCAGCTCGCACAGTAGCAAGAGAACAGTTTGTCTAAAACGTTCTGAAGTTAATACTAATGCAGCATCCTCTCACAGGCTTCTCAAAATAGCATATGCTCCAAGATAACATCCAGAACATTTACCTAAGGAGCCACAATATGCAGCAAAGGTATTTCTAAAACATTAAAAAGAAGATTTAAGTAGTTATACTTACAGTGTATTTTGTTAACTTTTCATTGACTTTGACGACATTCTTGGCCATATGTTTCATAGTCATCACAAGACTGTCTTCTGTATAGCCAGTGTAGTACTGCTGCTTTGTACCCTGCAGCATAACAGTAAGAAATTGGAGATTTATGAAGTGGGGATTGCTGCTCAAGACACAGTCACTTCAGGCAGCAAATGCCCTAAGCTTCATGTGCTAGCCTTGAGCGCTAGGAACTGCAGTACTGTCAGTTTAGGTGATGGATCCAGAATAACTTCTGGTGCGCTGCAGAAGCCTGCACACATCAGTGCCAAGAACCACATTTCTCCACTGCACAGAGGACAAAAGAAGCAACCCTTGCAAGAGTAACTACTAGTTGACTTACAAGTCACTATTCATGGTCCATGATTTCATTATTCTACGTGTACTGCGAAAATCATGAAAATCTACCTTTATTACAGTGTGGCCTTCTGTAACCCAGAACTTTCAAGAGAAAAATCCTTTCATACCACACCATTCACACAGAAAAAGACTAAGTTTTTAGCAGTATATTACTTTTTCTACCTGCAACTATGCATCAGGCTGTCCAACTGTCATTTGATCACCAGCATTATTACCAGCCTAAATGCAATTTTCTAAAGTAGTTGTTTTAATGGTTCAATTCAGTCAACTGAAGGAAAAAAACTCTTAACAGCAAGTTTGATTAAAATACTTACCCATTTGTTATGTCCCAGAATCTTTTGGGACAAGCATAACGCAGCAGCTGCAATCTCCGAAGGACGATGGTGAACCATGTCATAGTCTATCAGTGTCAGCTCCATTAGGTATTTTGCTAGTGTATGTTGCTCAGCATCAGCCTACCAGATTGAGAGCTCGTTAATCCACAAAGTTTCACTTCACCTTATCATAATAATTCAGGATTGTTTATTGTATTCATTAACTGACAAAACAAAAATTGTCAACAAAATCTTTATTAAGGTCTAGGGACCATACTCTCTAACAGGCACTCATCTCAAGATTGAGACCAGAGTCCAAACCAGTCTGGTCTAGCAGCCGTTTAGAATTTAGACACTAAGTCAAGTGAGGGATTTTAACAGAGAACTGCAGTATCACGCACTGCTGTGCCCGACTAGGGATGCAAATGCTCCCTCTGTAATATGCTAAGGAGGGGTGAGGGGCAGTGTAAAATGACTTAAGGAGACCCTTATTAAAGCAGTCAGCTAAGTTCAGGAGTTACCCAGAGGTCTGTGAGGTAACTGAAGCTCACCTCAAGTGTGGGCAGTTCACTTGAGTGTAACCACTGAGGTGGGGAAAAAAGAGGTCAAAGAGAAAGCTTATCTTTGGATTCTTAAATAATAGAATATTTGCATCCAAAATTTATGAAGAACTGCAACACTGCTTCCCTTTTACTAGGGAATAATAATACCCTGTTCACCAGACAAAAGATTACTCTAAAAGCAAGGGTTCTGCTCTAGGTATGTTTAGTTTACTCTAACAGTAAATTTCCTGCCACTAAGACTGAACACAGGCCCCAGTATTTACAAATGTGAATTGCTACTGGCTGCCACAATGATGTTGTTGTGTTACTCCACATGGTGGGGTTTCATAGCTTATTATTTCTTGATCCAGCATGTAAGCAGAAAGCAAGTAAGATCATGTGATAAAAATGCCACAAGCAATCCTGGTTAAGACTTTACACATATAGGAAAGTTCTAGACCATAAGGACAAGTACCCACCTCCCCAGCTTTTGATGCTCTTCTTAAGAAGTGAATTGGAAGAGGTCGTCCCAAATCGAAGTTTAACTCTTTAAGAATCGTAATCTCCATTTCTCTAACTTCAGTACTGGTGTAGGCATTGTCAGTAATGTAAACAAAGTCTCCTACATCAGGAGAGAAGACCTCTTCATATTTTGAAGCTAGAAGCAGTGCTGTTACACCCACCAGCTGAAGCCTCTTACGAGGGACTGGATGACTCTGCAATACAGGAATTTAAAAAGCAGACCCCAAAATGTCAAACTCTAGATAAACAGATTCTAATTTATCAGTTTAAAATATCAGTATGACAGTACTCATTCTTATAATGTAAATGAGATTTTCCACTTTGAGTCAGAAGTGTCCCTATAATGACAGGCTCCAAGAGGACCGCAGCCTCAGAGTTAAGATGCTACGCTATACAGAGCTCTTACACAAAGAGCAGATTTCATAGGTTCTCAGATTTATGAAGAAAGGATAAATCCTAAACTCCTTTACAAGCATAGTCATTGACCAAGTCTCCTAATCCAAACATGAGTTGAAAAATATCTTTCTTACTTGCAAGAAGCGATCCATAACTGCAACACACATATATAGCGTTTCCTGCAAAAGCTGGAATCTTGAGTGGACCTGGACAAGCCAGTCAACTAAAATTGCACGCATACGCCCATTGATCGTCTTCCCGTCGAGGTAATGCGGGCGGACCGACTGCTGCAGCTGTTGGAGAAAGAGCTCTGTGAGCAACAAGATTAACACTACACTGCAGAAGCACAGACTCAGTATGTCATACCTCAAGCTCTCTCAGATACAGATAGATATCTTTTACGTAGTCACTACACAGCTGGGGATTCTCCCAATCCTCAGCATCAATGTCTTCTACGTTGTTGAGCAACACATCAGAGAAGGCTTGGCACAAATCTTCCTCTTGCATAGACACATCCATAGGGACAGGAGACAGAACCTAAGGAACAGAACATAGTGCTTACAGAGCTACTGTTTAAGGTGCAATGGTTCTTCACGTCCACGTTTTTCCAGTTACTAATACATTTTCTTAAGATAAACCATACAGACAGAATCAGAAGACCTTCAAGTAATTGCCAGCTAAAGCAGAAACCTGATCCAGTGCTTCAACAGCTAGTTCTGTCACTTTAATATTAGTTAGCCTTTAAGCACAACATGCATTAAACCAAAACCTCAGTACAGAGGCTTTGCTTTTTCAGCAGGGAAATGAGATACATCTACACATAAACTATGCTGAAGTTAGAGCTCCTAGTGGCAAATCTAATTAAGGCTCAGAACGGCATCATTACTTCCCACCTTTGGAACACCAGTTCCTTTGCATGATCGATTCACTGCAGCTGGAGGTTTAGGCAGTACAGTTACATTCGTCACCTTACTAGGTCCTTTTGTAGGCTTTATGGATGCTTTGGAGCATTCTGTTTTCTGTAGTGAAAACAATCAGTATTAGTACAGAGCTAGTAAACCATCTTTTCCTTACAGGCAGATTTTAAATGTTCCTTTACCTTAGCTATGTATGTTCCTCTTGTTGCAACTTTATTACCGATTTCTTCCAGAGCACCCCTTTTCCCAGTAAGGCGAGTTTTGGCTTTGTTGTTAAGTTCAGTCACAGCATTCTCCACCCCCTTAGTGACCTGAAACAATAAAATTGCAGCTTAAGAGTCAGCGACCAACTGTACTTAATTTTCAGATGCCTCACTCCGTTATACACTTACCACCACTGTACCGGTGTGCCTCTGTGCATGCTATCCATTACTCAACCAGCTTTTATTTCCTACCCGGTTCACACATGCTCAGAGGAAGAAGTCTCCTCTGTATAGGTTTCAGACAGTACTGTACTCTGAAACGGTGTTGCAGGATTAGAGCAATGCACCCTATCTGGTTCTTTCTCACTTACAACTCTTTAACATTAGAGTGCTCACCTGCTACTTAGCTATTTATTGTATTTACACGCTTTGTAACTACAGCAGTATTCCCATGAAGACGAACAAAGCAATTTCTTTGTTACATACATACCATGTAAACAGAAAGGTTACGTTATGCATACAAAAATAAGCACCCTTCGTTATGCACAGCGAACAAACAGAAAGAGGTTCTTGTGGAGTTTAGTTTAAATCACTAGACAGTCACCGTAGAAAAGAGGTTCTCATATTCTACTCCAGCATCTTCCCGTTAAGTAGCTTTAGTTTTCTCCCTTCCTCCCACACGCCCTCCCCACGCTTTGAGGGGGAGGAGCAGCGGCCAAGGCCAGATGCAAGCTGAGGGCAGTGCCAGCTGAGGCGCCCGCATCCCCCAACGCCGGGGACGAGGGTGCAGCGCGCACCCCCTCACCACCACTCCCTCGAAGTTCAGCTCGGCTTCAGCCTCCTCGCCCCCGCAGTCCCGCTCCGCTCGGGCCGCTGCCCGTACCCGCAAGAGCACAGCGGGGCTCCCGGCCAGATACAGCGCCGAGAGCGGCTCCCCACCCCCCCACACCTTAC